CGTGGGTCAGTGCGACTTCGTGGTGAGCTGGTGCTGGTGAGCTGCGCAGGTTGTCGAGGAAGTGGTGTGATTCTTGGGCAGACAAAGAATAACATAGTACAAATCAGTTGACCCACTAATTAATTCACCTTTGTGATATGTGGCCTAGAAGAATCCATACGTGGATGGACTTAACTCCTCTCATGATGGCTGGCTGAGAAAATACGAAGCAAATATCTAGCTTCTGTTAAAATATGTGGGCCATTAGATAACATTTAGTCCAGAACCAGTCTAAAAAAAATGGTGGGCCGTGGTTCTTGCAACAGATTCAGCCCACTTTAAAAAGATAATTACTCTTTAATTTTCATATTATTTATATTTATTTTAATCAATATTTTTTTTGTCGGGTGAATATCACACTATCACGCACTTATGATCAAATGCCTAGTAGAGTGTGGCTTGAGACCCATCACAAGGATTTAAAGCCCTGATTCTCAGGCACAAAGCCCTGACTCTCAGGCACAAAGCCCTGACTCTCAGGCACGAAGACCGGTCTTAGTCATTCCTCGAGTGGCGACCGTTGCTTATGAATGGCTCACACATCCATTCTACTAAGTATTTTATCATTACATTAACAATTCACATCTCCACTTGTTTCAGATGACGAACTCCCGATCGGAAACATAAATCCGAAGAAAAAATTTATATGTATGTTAAATGTGTAGGTACAGAGATGATCTTACTCATTTTCACCTCGTCTCCACTCGCCTCAAAGAGTGGGGACTGGGGGGGCTGAGGGGTCAGAGTTTCTAGATGAGGAGAAAATATCACGCATGAGTAGGAACGAGAGATGAGTCAGATGAAGACGGGTTGAGCTAGACAAAAGTGATTATACCGGAGGGGCCTACCTTCCTTGTTTCATGTTGGGGGCGCTAGGTGTACTCTTTTTCCCTTTATTAGGATTTTCCCACTGGGTTTTTTCCTAGTAAAGGTTTTTAACGAGGCACCTCCCCATCATTGATAAGGGTGGTGGTCCCCCGGCTGAAGAGGAAGAAACCGAAGACAGAAGAACGTTGCAGATACAATTGTGGACTACTCCCTTTCACCTCGAGTACTCTCGGCTCAGAGAGTGGGGGACTCTTGATGGAGTATATGGACTCCGACCCCCCGATTTGCCGGCTATTGGGCCTGGACAGCGGCCCACACACGTTTAGCGGATTCATATTATTGTACATTATTATTATTAAGATGTTCTAGATTAGCTTTTTATACTATCAGTCCATTTATGTAACCGGGTCTGTCAGGCCCATATTAGAGGCCCAGACCCGGATTTTCCCTATATATACTCCCTTATGTAAGGCTTGTAAACATAACTCAAGAACTCATAGTTTATACACAATACTCATTTTCTTCTTCTTCTTCTCCATTACTCTTATTTATTCTTGTTCAATCTCTCTTAGTTATAGGATATGAGTATCAATTATCCAACAGTAAGCATCGTCACATTTTAAATGTGGCTCGTGCTTTGATGTTTCAAGCCAATTTGCCAATAAAGTTTTGGGGTGAATGTGTTTTAACTGCTGTCTATTTGATTAGTCGTACTCCATCTGGTCTTCTTGGGAATAAGACTCCATTTGAGGTCCTGACTGGCAATACACCTGATTTTGATCACTTGAGAGTTTTTGGATGTTTATGTTTTGCCTATAATCATAAATCCCGAAGTGATAAATTTATTTTGCGTAGTACGCGTTTATCTTTCTTGGCTATCCTAATGGCAAAAGGGGTGGAAGGTGTATGATCCTAACACCGGTGATATTTTTGTGTCACGTGATGTTAAATTCTATGAAGATGAATTTTTGTTTACTCATGATCCAAGCACACAGTCAGACACAGATTTAGGTGATAATCACCTGTTTTTGACATAGCCGCACCACTTGTTGATGATGATGAGGACCTGTGGCAGAACTCAGGGACAGCCAGCGCTCTCCATGACATGGCTATGGACAGTAATACAGATAGTACTCCAGGTACTGCTGCGGGCCAGTACACCTCCTGCGCAGACACATCTCGGCCGTGGTCAGCGTGAAAAACGCATGTTGGTTCTTCTTCAGGATGTTGTTACACACCATCTTCCGGAAATGAGCGTTATCCTATAGCTCATTATGTGAACTGTGAAAGATTTTCCCTCGCCATCGTGCATTTCTTGGGGTTGTACTTGTAGGTATGGAGCCTCGTTCTATTAAACAAGCCATAATTGATGCCGGTTGGAGAGATGCTATGCAAAATGAAATCCGAGCGTTGGAGGCTTGGGTCATGACCAGCTTGCCTCCTGGCAACCGAGCTCTTGGTTGTAAATGGGTTTACAAGATCAAGTATAATTCTGATGGCACCGTTGAACGTCTCAAAGCTCGTCTTGTTGTGTTTGGCAATCATCAAGAAGAAGGCATTGACTATACAGAAACCTTTGCTTCAGTGGCGAAAATGGTTACCGTTGGAACCTTTCTTGTGTTAGCCACAACTCGAAATTGGGAAGTTCATCAGATGGATGTGCATAATGCCTTTCTTCACGGTGATCTTGATGAGGAGGTATACATGAAGCTCCCGCCAGGTTTTTATCCTACTCGTCCTGACCTTGTTTGCCATCTAAAGAAATCATTATATTGGTTGCGCCAAGCTCCCCGATGCTGGTTTGCTAAACTAGCTACTTCTCTTAAAACATATGGTTTTACTCAGTCTTACTCAGATTATTCCTTGTTCACTTTTCGCAAGGGGGACATTCACCTGCATGTATTAATCTATGTTGATGATTTAATTATTGCTGGCAATGATCATGTGGCTCTGTCAAGCTTTAAATCATATTTGGGTTCTTGCTTTCACATGAAGGATCTGGGTGTCCTCAAGTATTTTCTTGGTATTGAGGTGGCTCGTACTCCCGAGGGAATTTTTCTTTGTCGGCGTAAATATACGCTGGATATTATCTCTGAGGTTGGTCTTCTTGGTTCTTAACCCACCAAGTTCCCTATTGAACCGAACCAAACTTTGGCTCTAGCGGCGGGTGATGTACTCTCGGATCCAACATCTTATAGGCGTCTGGTTGGGCGCCTTCTCTATCTATCTTTCACTCGTCCTGACATTGCATATGTGGTTCATATCCTGTCACAGTTTATGTAGACTCCACGAAGGGAACATTGGTCGGCGGCCCTTCGGGTGGTCCGTTATTTGAAGGGTAGTCCTGGACAAGGTATTTTACTTTCTTCTTCCTGTGATTTGACTATTACAAGTTGGTGTGACTCCGATTGGGCTACTTGTCCTCTTACCCGCCGTTCCCTCACCGGGTGGATTGTGTTTCTTGACGGATCTCCTATTTCCTGGAAATCCAAGAAACAACATACTGTGTCTCGGTCTTCTTCTTAAGCGGAGTATCGTTCCATGGCCTCCTTAACAGCGGAATTAAAATGGCTTAAAGGACTGTTGACTAGCCTCGGTGTTTCTCACTCTCGGCCTATGACTGTGTTTTGTGATAGTAAGTCTGCTCTTCACATTGCTCAGAATCAGGTATTTCATGAACGCACTACACACATCGAGGTGGATTGTCATTACGTGCGTGATGCTATTCAGGATGGTTTGATTGCTACTCATCATGTCTCGTCTGGAAATCAACTGGCTGATATTTTTATTAAAGCTCTTGGCAACCGGCAATTTATGTTTCTTCTCTCCAAGTTGGGCATTTGTAATCCGCATGCTCCAACTTTGAGGGGGTGTTAGAATAATTCTTTTGGGTTTTATTATGTAATTAATGTGTATTCTTGTATAGCATTAATAGCCCATAGGCTCATGTAATGATGTAATACTTGTATAAATATTTCTCTTGAGCTTAATGTAACCTAAGGCAATCTATGTTGCACCGATACTTCACTTCGATGCCGTATCCGCGTATCCGATACGTATCCGTATCCGATACTCACCGATACCCGTCCTGTACGTATTGGGTCCGTATCCGTAATTTAATAAAAGTATCAGGCTTAATTTTAAAAATACCGATACTTCCGATACCCATATCTGTGAACCGATACGCGTATCTGAACCTATAACCCCTCATTTTATACACGATACGTGCGACATAGAAGGCAATTAGTCTATTTTTATTTTGATACGTGCGATTGCAACAGCAATATCAATATCCATCTTAGGGAAGTGAATAAAAAGCATTTTCAAGGATTCACTGAAGTCCAAGAAAAACAAACAGATTTGAAGTCTTGAAGAAATACTTTATACTCCTTACTTCGCATTACCATGGAATGGAGAGTCAAATGCCAATCACGGAAAATAAAATGGAACATACGGATGGAGTAAAAAGAAAGCAGAAACTATAGAGGATTCAAAAGTTAGAGATGCTATATACGTATTATCAAGAGCGATTGATTTAATTTTCTTAGTAATCATTTTCCAACTCCAATTATGTAGCATATTAATGGAAAAATTGCATCGAGTATTTTCTTTATAAGGAGTCGTATTCTTGTCAAAATAACACATTAACTCTTTTTTTGAAAAAAAATTAAATATCAATTCTGTTAATAGGAGCAAATAAGTCTGAATATAAGAAAACATACTTAGTTCTATTGTACATTTTGTCTATATTTTAGGAAAACTCAGAATATAAGAATAAAAATGTTTAAGATTTCCAAAATAGTTCCATGAAAATAGTTTTTTTTTTTTTTTTACTCTAGGGGGTCTGGGGCCTGTAGTAATCAGGGCTGAAACTCAGCCCATTGAGTTTTGAATCCTTATATACTCAGCGGTTTCAAACTCGAGACCTTTTACTAGGCACGGTAACCTGACAACCAACTGAACTGAAATACTTGGTTAAAAATCATTGTAATACTCGGTATATATTATACATTAATATTGTACTCCATAGTATAAAGTATTTATTATCATAATATATTTCAATCATAGCAATAACGACTTCTATTTCATGAAAAATATAACAACCATATTTTAACATTTTAGAATATTTTTTACTTCTACTTAGGACAATATTCCTATATTTTATTCCTATTTTAATTAATTTTTTTTTTATTTTGAACCAATTAGCATGTATTGAATTAGCTTTAACAACAATAACGGTATAATTTAAGGTAGATTCTATGGTACCCATAAGGTACCATATCTTTGTCCACATGGACCAATCAGAATCATGCAGTTGAATTATTTAAATCTAAATTAAAAGAGATTTAATGATTTGGACCAATCAAATGCATGGTAGGTACGGCACCCCATTTTTTATCGGAGTTGTCACCATAATTTAATGAAGTTCATTCCCTGTAGTATATCTTTCCTTAACCATCACCGGGAAACCACCCTTCATCTTTGAGGATAGATAGGCTACGTAGACGGGTTCCTTGCCGTCCTCCGCCACCGGTATTACCCTGAACCGCCCCAAAACGCCGGCCACCACCCTCTTCATTTGTAAGAAAGCCATCTCCTTACCTAGACAAATCCTCGGCCCTGCGTGGAACACCGGATATACGTACGGATCTTTCCCCACGAAGCTCAAATTCCCGTCTCCGTCCCTGTTCAGCCACCGTTCAGGGCGGAACTCCGCCCAATCCTTCCCCCACAGCTCCTCCGCCCTCCCCATAGCATACGCGTGATAACTTACCCTCCACCCCTTCTTCACTGCCGTCCCGTCCGGCAAAATATCATCCTCGCCGGCCGTTTTTGAGTCCACCGGAACCGGCGGGTAAAGCCTCATCGCCTCACAGAGGGCGGCGTGGGTGTAAACCATGTGCTTTAGCTCACCGTCCACCGCCGCCTCGGATTGCGATCTCACCTCTTCCAAGATCTTATCTTCAACTTCCGGTTGCCGGGAAATTGACCAGAAAAACCAAGTCAAGGCGGCGGACGTCGTGTCCCGGCCGGCGAGTATGAAGCTGATGACGATATCGGTGACGAAGTTCTCCTCCGAGTGGCCGGAGCTCAAGAATCTTGACAGGAGGTCAACGGAGTCCAGCGTTGACTTCTTCTCCAGTTCTTTCTTCTTCTCCCTTACGATTTTCCTGGCGAATTCCCGCACCTCGGAAACCGCAATCCGGAGCTTCCTTTCGGATCCAATGTTGAAACGGCGTTTCAATTTCCAGACAAGAGGGCTAATTTCGTCATATCTTTGGCTGCTGATCTTCAGAGCTTCCTCGAAAGCGACCGCCAAAGTCGCCGCCGGCAGGGACGGCGAGAGATACCCAGGATCATACCCGAAAGAGATCTTACAGATATTATCAAAAGCGAATCTTTGAAGAATATCCTGAAAATCAAGAACCGTTTTTTCCCGCGAAGCAGAGGACAGAATGGGAATTAAGCGGCCGGAGAGCTCTGCATCGACGACGGTGGAGACGAAGTTGCGCAGAGACCTGGTGTTGAACTCGTGGATGGCGACCTCTCTCTGAAACTTCCACTTCTCGCCGTCGACGTTGAAGATTCCGTCGCCGAGAAAATCAGCTAAATTGGTTCTTGCGAAATCGCCTTTCGAGTAAACAGAGAAGCGGGTTTTGAGGATGTGCTCGACATTTAAAGGGTTACCAGTGTAGACCTTGGAGATTCCAGGGCGGTGTAAGGTGAAGGTCAGGTTGGGGGAGGCATTGATGGCATCGGAAAGCCATTGAAACCGGCGGTCTCTGTTTTTCAGAAGTGAGAAATAAGAACCTACCAGAGGATACGATCTGGGGATTTTATTACTGGGTTTTGATGAGAATATGTTGGAGAAGAGGAAGAAAACGAGCAAGGGAAGTAAACAGAAGAACAGTGACGTTGAGAGAAATGATAGATCGTTATCAAAGCTTATTACTCCCATCATCAAGTATGGATTTTTTCCTTATTCCAATTGCTTTTAAAAAATAGAAATCATTAAATCAACGAGGATTTTGTCCTCAGAGGCTCAGACTGACTTGGGTTTTATAGTAGGAGAAAAATCTACGGTGCCTCTAATATTTTTGAAGGTACGGTACATTGGCCTGACTAGATCAATAAGAGTGCTCCACGTGGATATTTTCAACACTGGACAGTTATAATATACGGACTAATAATTATAAGAGATCTAATTTAAACTACACAGTAATAAAATTCCTTTTTATTTGCACTGAATTCCTGATTACATTCTCATTTTTCATGAACCTTCTCAATTTTCTCAATTGTTTATACATATATCCCATTTAGATTATATTATATCTGAATTAGGTTTTAAGATTGTGTTTTCAAGTTCTGTAAATTAATTTGTGAGTCTTCGGCCATTCCTTTGAATGATTAGTGCAATATGGGTAAATTATTAATTTATAATGTATTAAAAGAGAGTTTTGAAGCTTCAACTTGAGGACTATTTTGTTGATCAACTTGATTGATCGATTAAGTAAAGACCAATGATAAAGATATAAATTTGCAGAAGTAAAAAAAAAATATGCGGTGTAAAATGCTGGTTGAAGACAACTTGAAGATAGAAAAAAACTCAAACAATCTACATATTGCTAAATTCATCTGCCAAAACGCCTTGATCTAAATCTAAGATGAGTGCCTCTTCGTAAGAAAAACATATGTTTAAATTCTTTTTCTGAAAAACATGGCTGGTGCACCGTCAAAAACAGAAAATTTTGATAAAGGATTCGAATGTAAATAAATATATTAACCGTCATACTTTTGATATGTTGTATTTTTTATTATAAATCTAATTAAGTATACAGGTGTTGCATTTTTATTGAGCCACTTAGTCAAAGGTACGGTACATCTCCAAACAACGGAGGTACCGTAGAAAGACCCTTTATAGTATTGGTGACGCAAAACTCGAATCACCGGCTCTGGCATTCCACACTCAAGGTGATAGATAGAATTTTGGAACTGGAAATGGCGATTTGGTCTGAAATAGTTCATCAGAGAATGGTTCAGTATCTTGTGTGATGAACACCCTACCGACTCGTGCAAGCGTTTTATACTATTAGCACATGAGCTACGCTATATGTTACTCCCTATAATGATTTTTTATTTAGATGAATCGTTTAAAATGTATAGTTATTCTAGCTTAATTGAAATTGATATAAAATGTAAAATGTTATTTTTTTTTATCGAAGCGAGCTTGTATTAATAAAATAGCATTCAGCAGGAGTATATGACAACAAAAGGACCACATGTAACCATCCGCCCTTGACCGAGACTTAGAGTTAATCACCTTTAATAAACCAATATAACTCGCTAGACCTAAATTGAGCAACTTAAAGCCAATGACGATTACCGCAGACCTCTCATCCCCCAAACCTAATGCAAGAGTCTTACAGAACATAAAATAATGAAAGTAAAACAGAACAATCCATCCATGAAGAAAACAAACAAAACAAACAGTAAAAATAAAACCAACATCCTTCTTGATCATCACAGCCATATGAATGCTCGGCGGGCATAGAGAAATTGACCCGCCGCCTCCCCATTTTTTGACCCATCCAGTGTCATCCCTTCGCCAGCTATGCCTCCTTGGGCTTGACTTTCCCATATTCTTCTGCGTTTTGTCTCACCCGGGGTTTCTTCTTCCTTGCCACCCGACCCATCCTGCTGAGATGCACTAGCACCTGATTCTGCCTAGTACTCGCCCCCGAGATCGGTCTTCCGCTGTTGTCCGTACCCCTCAGAACTAGAAGATTCATTAACTAACCACTTATTAGGTCCTGTAGGACTGGTCTTTACCCTTCCTCCAGCTCTGAGCTCCACCCCAAATGATTTCTCTAGTACAAACCCCTCTTCATATTTCAATGGACACAATTTATTAGAATGCCCAATTATCCCACACATGAAACGGAAATCGGGTAGCGTTTCATACTTAAAATCCACCCAATGCCCAACCCCATCTTTTGTTAAGGTAGTACCCTTTTTTAAAGGTTTCCACACATCCATACAGATTCGAATACACAGATAAGATTTCTGCTTGCCTTCAAATTGGCTCTTATCAAACATAATAAAAGAGCCTAAGAAATTCCCAATCTTCCTGGCAGATCCCAAATTTCTAAATTTAAAAGGTACATTGTGAACTTGTACCCAAAATTCAGTTTCAAACAAATTCATTGTCTCAGGTATATCATCTGGCTGAACAACTTTCAAAAGAATTAGATCACGTTCAAACAGCCAGGGGCCACCCTCAAGCACACGATTCATATCCAACACATGATTACAATTAAAAAGATATCTATTTTCTCCAATTTCCTGGATGGCCACACCTTTTCCTGGACGCCAGATCGAAGCCAGCAGCTCTTGGAACCCCGAAAGCTTAACTTTTCGATCCGTGACCACCACCCCCACAACCGGGAACACCTTGGGTTCATTAGCCGTATCGATGTCCTCTGCCTCCTCCTAATTGAAATTAAGCTCGTTCTCCTTTGCATCAATAGCCATCTTCTTGTAGATGTTAACAATATCCTCCATCTATCAAAGCTTCTTTAGTATCACTGACCCCTACGTCTTCCTGTTGTTTCAAGTCCAAGCCGCGATCGACGAGAAGCTCTCACCTCTGCCGTCGCTTGCCTTCACCGCAACTAAACCCCGTACTTCGTCATAGTCGAACACAGAAATCAACCCCCAGCGGCGGAAAGCCCTAGGGAAGATCGATTTTTTAGAAAATGTAAAATGTTATTGTTATCGCCAAACGTTTTTTCGTATAAGTAATACAATTATACGGAGTATCTTATTAGCTAACTTTGTCATAATAATTGTATAAAATGTGTAAAAGTTAAAATGATACGCTATATATATATAGTGAATATGTACTCTTAATATCTACTATATTTATTTATATCTTAAAGATCGATGAAGTGTCAAGATTGTATAAATATTATAAATTGTTCAGTTTACGGTTTTCAATTTAAAATCGCGTGGGAACATTTCTACCCAACTCAAGGAGTATATAATTATTTTGCTTTTATGATGCAACAAGTTGGATTTTTTTTACCTTTTCATGGATATGATTTCAAGGACCTAACTATGGAACTATGATCGGTGATAAAACCCTTCATATGTATTAGGACATTAGGTATACTTTTCTATGATTTTAAAGACCTAACAATCAAAATATCATCGATTACCTATAGCTTACGTCCGGATTACTTTTTAGGAACAATGAAACAAATTTTATACGTTTCATTGTTAGCACCAAAATCGGCTGTTTTCGCTGATTCTGCTGAAATTTATGATATTTTGGCTGGAGTGGCTGTTTTGGCTGATTCTGCTGATTTAAGAAAAAAATATTTTAAAAATATATTTTATTAATAAATTAAAGAAAAAATTATATGTAAAAATAGCTAAAATGGTCCTCTACAGTAACTTCAGTCAATACAGCCAGAAAAGTAACTCCAACCTTACTTTTTCGGCTTATTACACAATTCAGTGCGCGAAAGTAAAAGTTACGTGTTTGGTGAAAAAGCTGGCTGATAAGCCTGATAAGCCGAAAACAGAGTTCTCCAAACGGGCTCGTAGTATATAGTTTGTAAAAGAATTAGAACCCGTTTGGTAGCACGAAAATCGGTTGTTTTGGCTGATTCTGTTGAAATTTATGAAATTCTGGTTGAAGTGGCTGCATTGGCTAATTCTGCTGATTTAAGAAAACAATATTCTAAAAATATATTTTATTAATAAAATAAAGAAAAAATTATATGTAAAATAGCTAAAATAGTCGTCTACAATAACTTCAGCCAATACAGCCACAAAAGTAACCTCAACCTTACTTTTTCTGCTTATTACACAATATAGCGCGTGGAAGCAAAAGTTACGTGTTTGGTGATAAAGCTGGCTGATAAGCCTGATAAGCCAAAAAACTGGGTTGTCAAACGGGCTCTTAATTTCCCAAATAAGACTAAAAGAAGATCCGTGTGCACAAATAGGACCAAAAATGAAACATACGTTTTGTAGGACCTAAAACCACATATTTGTACAAATATGCCCCTAATCAATTTCTTTTGAATTAATAATTAAAAATGTAAAATTAAAATGTTGAAACCCTGAACGTCAACCGTAACACAGAAGCAGGGCCGGTCCTGAGAAATTACGGGCCCTGTGCAAAAATAAAATGTGGGCTTTTTTCTAAAATAAATAGAACTATAATACAACTAACATATACTCCCTCCGTCCCAAAATAAATGTATTTTTTGCTTTTGCACAAGTTTTAAGAAAATGGTTGAAAGGGTTAAAGTTGTGGTTCAAATTTGAGTAGAAAAAGGTGAATTGATATGAGTCACATTTTACTGCTAAAAGAGGAAACAAAATAATTATTTTGGGACGGACCGAAAAGGAAAGTATGACATTTATTTCAAAGTGAATTGATATGAGCCACATATATTTGTAAAAATTTGAAAATAATAAGTGAAGATTATATTTATAAAAATTTGCTACAACAATAATTTATATCAAAATATAAGTTATTCACTAACTTAATAGTGAAAATAAAAGTATTCCTTAACAAAATACACTTCATTTATTTGTTAAACAAAATTATAAATTAATAGACTGATAATGTAATATCTACCAGTTTACTAATTTAATAATGACATATAATATAAAAAATAGTTACTAATATGATTACAAATCAATATTAATCATTAATATGAATCATGGCATTATATAAAAACGTAAGTTGAAAGAATGTTACCATTAACGAAATGGTTGAGTTGGTTCGTACTACCAATACGTGGGAGGGTGTCATGGGTTCGAAACCTCCTAGCAGTTGAATTTTTTAATTGAAGCTACGGATTTACCGTTTGGGCTCCTAGGAAGACTATTAAATATTGGGCCCTAAGAATTAATGGGCCCTGTGCGGTTGCACTGGTGGCACCTGCCCTGGGCCGGCCCTGCACAGAAGCCACCATTGCTGCCTGCCGCTTCCTCCCTCGTCGGCGC